GGGGACTGTATTTACAGTAGGCTGGTCTATATGTGGAGAGGGGGGGTTGGGTGGGGTGGGTATAGAGGAGGAGGGGTGTACCCAGCCAGGGGGCTTCTGGGGGATTCAGTTGTTTATCAGGCACCCCTCAGACAGAAAAGGGGGGAGGTGGGGGAAGTATGGAGGGGAAAGTGGGTTACAGACATCAAAAACACATGCATATGACCTCCCTAGCCCCCTGACCATGACAGCACCATCTCTCACCTCTCCTCACTTTCAGACCCCCTGCTGTACACACACACACACACACACACACACACACCATCACACCCTCATCCCTGCATCCACTGACTTTCTAGTGATGCTAAAAAAAGGATGTGGGAGTCCTCCTGTACTGTATATCTTTTTCCCCCCTGACTACCCTTTTACTTGAATAAACTCACTGCCCTCCGCTCCCTCCCAGCGCCTGTTGGACCCTGAATGAGTGAGGGAGTGTAAAGAGAGGGAGAGCATGTGCTGTGCTTGGTTGTGTGATTGCCAGCGTTTGCATCATCCTCAACAAAGAGAGAGAAGGGAAGAGGAGAGGAGCGCTTTCTTTGCTCCTCACAGCAACAGAATGGGAGGGAGGGGGACACACAGATACAGGATGAGGTAATATTTAATATGCATTAATATGCTAAATATGGGTTTCACATATTTTGTTGTACATATACACAAACAAGGCATGGGTCTACATGTAAGGACACATAAGGAAAAGGGGGGTTCTTGTTTTCCAATATGCAAATACACTGGCTGCCCCTCAAAACAGCCTGGAGAGACAAAGGCAACCAGTGGCCAATGGTGGCCCATATCAAAGCCCTGTGCTGGCGGAATCATAATGAGGCTGAAGCCCATTTATCAACGACATGATTTCATATGCAAGTAGCAGCTCTGCTCTCTCATAGGCCGGCCAATTTCCCTCTCTGTCCCTATCACAGGCTTGCGCGCCCACAGCGGTGAGATCACCACCACCAGCAGACAAAGGAGAGGTTCAGGAAAAAGCCACAGAGCGCACAACTATCCAACACATGTTAGGGAAAAAAGCAGCTCTGTCTCTCCCTCACACACACACAAAAAGTAAATATTGTCAGTGGAGCTTGGCTAGAAAACAAGCCCTGCTGAGTCTAACAGTTGGTGGTGCTGCATGAGCTCATTAACAAAGCTTCGCATTGCAAACAGGGCTGATCACTTTCTCTGAGGAAGCTGAGAACTTATTGGATAGGCATGTTGCAATAATCATAATGTATAGCTGGACTGTCATTATAAACAAGTGAGGAGTTTTTCTTGGTGCAGGCATGTGCCAAGTGACAGCTGACACTGTCTACTGAAATGAAATTTTAAACCAGATCACCATGCTGCATGCCACTCATGATCTTAAATGTTAAAACATAGGATATAACGGTCATGACAAGTTTTCCAAAAGAAAAAAAAAAGTTTTTTCCATCAAAAGTTCTTTTTACGCAAAAATTACGCATGCGTAAAACTAAATTCATTGAAATTTTAAATTCTAAATTAACCATGTGAAAGGATCAAACAATGCATTTAAATAAAGCCAAGGGATACTAAATATATTGCACACAGTTTAACCCAAAAATCCTGTTGCTTTTCCACTCTCACGCAGTCTTACCTTCTCTCCAGTCAAGGCATGGAGACCTTCTCTAACTTTGGCGAACGATCCTTCTCCCAGCTTCCTCCCAATCAGATAGTTCCCGACCCGCTTGGTGTGGTAAAAGTTCTTGAGGATGTCCGCTGCAGGACTGCATGAAGCCGGGAGGATGTTGTCATTCCCGGCACTACTTGGGGTTTTACCCTCATATAACCCGTGGCTGTTGTCTACTACCATGTCGCTGTCTGCAACTGGCATCACAGCTCCCTTGTCAAATGTCCCCTTTTAAACAAGGGAGAAAAATTACGCAGCTCGTCCCCTCACCCACCTTCAAGGCGGGTATTAAATGCTTAACGTCCGGTAAGGTGCGTTAACTCCGGTCTGCCTGCGTCTTGCCCCTAATAACAAATTAAGGGAACCGCAGCTTGCGCCACCTGTTCGCCCAAAGCATCCAGTGAGCGCACTCAGCAGGTTCCGAGACAAGTCTTGATTAGTGTATCGGCTTACACTGAAATGACAGTCGAAAAAAATATGTCAGGCTCAATCATGGAAAGTTATTAACTGACGCAACCTGGCTTAATACTTGTGAGGGTTTAAAAAAAATCTGTAGCTCATTCAGAGGTAGGCTCTCAGTCAGCGTCCCTGCTCCACACATGAACGTCTCCTGAATAGTCTGCGTGCAGGCAGCGTGTTTTCACTTTGAACTGACTTTACCGGTCATATGTGTGGGCGTTCCTTAGTGAGAGGGTGGAGAAAAAAAAAAGACACAGACCCTCGCACGGTGGTGGTAGCCGGGGTAATATTCAATCCAATCAGCGCAGGCGGGCGGAGCACATGTGAGAACAAGGGGTACAACTCCACCCGGTACCGCTGCTCACCGTTTCGCATGGTGCGCTCTGACTGTACACGGCTATGAACAAAGAGTACATTTGTAGCCGGAAGAGAGAGACAGCAACACTGTCACTATCAATATTTAGATTTTTTTAAAAATAATTCTTGCAACATGATTGCTGGCCGTCTGCGTCTTAATTGTAGTGTTAGGTTTATTTGGGTAGAGCTTTGCGTAAAGGATCCACATCTTGATACCATGTGCTGTGCACCACGCAGCCCTACAATCACACCGGCATAGAGCTGTGCATATTGTGTCAATAAATTATCATAAATAAATGTAAGAAACTTTAAGTTTTATGTGAGATGCACAATGTAATACTATGTTTTCCTTGTGTTACTGATTGTTGCTGAACTTGGAGTTCTGCCAGCGTAAAGTTCCACGGCAGACAAAGGCGCATCTTCCTCATCGCTCATTGAGGTGTTCACTGGCCTAATTAATATGGTGCTTATCACTCAGAGGAGAGCACCTGCAGGGAGGGGCAACAGTTTCAGACATATTTTTTTTCCTGTATTTAGCTGTTGCACAGGTTAATCTAACCTAATATGATTATCTGTTTTCCTATGCATAGTGCCATAAAAAAAACCAATAGAACAGCTCTGCAATAACTACCACCAATGTTGTTTTTGTAGTCTGTCAGAGAGGTGGTTGTTCAACCCTTCCAGTAGTGTGTAATATTTCTGCATCAGATTCCATCCTATAGGCCCATACAGGTGTGCTCTCCTCTGTTCACACCTTATATGGATTCTTAGAAGGAGAGAGAAGAATACAGCTGCACATACAATTTGACTTGCCTGGTGGACCATGCTTTCTAGACACTAAACCAGACACCCAGACATGGAACCAAAAGTGTAAGTATACCTCCATCTACTGGAGTCATTTTGTACTGCAAGAAGATACAGTCAGGCCTTATACTTGAGAGACATGAGACAGCAGACATGCTGAACTTTTTCAGTTTTCATTTTCTTCATACTTTTGTAAAATACGACTTAAAGCAAGTAGTCTTGTGGCTAAGCCTTGGAGTTTATCAGTAACCTGTAAAATAAAGTTACTTTGAGCTTGGAACCATCCATGAAGGGGGCAAACAGGAATTATTTAATGATGTAGAGATACCTGGAAATGTTACTCATATAAATTCACCATTATTTATAAATTTTGAGCGGAATCACACCACTAAATTTCAATATTACTCCTAAGCTTTGTGATCCGGAAAACTTTAAAGCAGGGGTGTCAAACATACAGCCTGTGGGCCAAAACCGGGGACCAATCTAGCCCACTGGATGACCTGCACACCTAATATTGATGCACTAGTGAAGTCCAAAATGTGTCAGGTTTCAGGAGCAGGTTGTTAAAAAGTGACTATTCTACTAGGCTACATATTAAGTGCCACTTAAGAGGCTTTTTCACCCTGACCAGAATACAGCTCTCTGAACACAATGAATCCTTAATGTAGTCATATTTAAAGATATTAAACATTATATAAAAATTGTCAGTCGGCAGCTTCAGTACAAAATAATCTGCATCGTCTTAAAACAATATTGGGGGAACCCTCTTACTAAGGCACTGCCAAAACTTTAGATTTGTAAAAGGTTTGTAAGGCAGGGGATAACTTCACCTGATTCCTCAATAGCTTCCACTGTAGATTGGTGTGTTCAGATACCAGCATTTATACACAGAAGTGGAAATGTATGGGAAAATGGACATGTTATGGCAGTGATTAGTGAAGTGGCTGAATGTGGACACACTGAGACGTACAGTGGAAACTGCACTTGTTTTTCTTCAGACATCTCAGGCTGTTCATCATCTGTTTTGTGAATGGATATTTTCAGAATGTACTTCTTCACACTAAAAAGGAGGGAAACATTTGAAAGTGTTGTTATTCATATGTTATTATGTAGTGGTTTTACAGGTCTGGTCCACTCGAGATCAAATCGGACTGTATGTGGCCCATGAACCAAAATGAGTTTGACATCCTTGCTTTAAAGGTTGATGTATATTGCTCAGTCTTCATCCCAGAAACAGAAGGTGATGGCAACAGTAGGAATTCCCACTTTTGTTTGTGTGCCACAGTACTAATACTTCTAATAGTAGTAGAAGTAGTATTTCAATCTTATCCGTCATATAATACTCAAGCATAGTAACAGGGACTGATATTTGAGAGTTAATATAGTAAATATAGGCTAATATTGCATGTGCAGTCTGCTGTATGTGCACTGTAGCTACCTGATGGGCGCCTGAAGACGACTTGGGTCGTTGCCATGACGACAATGCAAAGAGCACGAGAAAAGCAGGGCGCAACCCAAAGCTAATCTTTGTCCAGAGTTAAATCAACGACATCTATAAGGACACTTCGTGGACAACCCTGTCCCCTGCCCTGTCCACGTGTTTTCAGTCCCTGCAGCACTTCTCCGCCACCTTGTGGACAAAACCTAGAACAACAGACTCGAATCCCATCATGCTTTGCTGTGCCCGCCGACCTGAGAGCTACCGATGCTAGGCTAACAGTCGTTAGCTACCGGGAGCGGACATGTTGTACCGACCCTTCCTCGAAAAATCATCGCTGTAAGCGGGGAATCGGGAGTTTAGGGAAAGGCTCGGAGCGTTGGGCAATCATGGACGCCGTCAACGCCTTTAACCACGAGGTAAGCTGCTCTCAGGGCTCGCTGAGACCCTGAAGTCACCGAGTCTGGCGGTGCTGGTCATGGTGCTGTGTTGCTGTGGAGCTAACCAAGCAAGACTGACCAGTGGGCCTGCTCGGCGAGCTAGCTGGACATGTCCGTCTTACCTGGCTTAGGGCTAACTGAGTTAGCGTTTGTGTTGTAGCTACACCTGCAGCGCAAGTAATGTTGGTGTTAAACAAACGTTAGGGCTTTCTGCTAACTAAATTAGCAAGCTAACGCAGCGGTAGCCAGTCCACTTTGGTTCTAGTAACCTTGCACAAAGTTCGTAAGACTAACGTTTACGTTAACGTTAGCTCGTAAGAGCATGGTTACCAACATAGGTGTTGTTAACAATGCTACAGGCAAACACACACTATCCTCTTGTTGTCACGCTGCAAGCTTGCAATCATAATCGCTTCAGTGATATACTCAGCCTCTGTTTGATCATAAGATGCCAGGCTCAGTCACAGTAAGGCCAGATGACTGATGGTTGATGTCAGATCTGAAGACAGGTCAGGATATCTGTTGGTGTTTCTGATTAATCTTGCTTCTGCTGAAAAACTAGCTTTTAACCTTTGAATACAACAGGTACAGGGGCAGGGCCCACTGAGACTGAGTGAAAAACACAAACCTGTAATCATAGCATATCGAGATTGTCCTGATACTTCTGTGTTGCACCACATCATTAACATTATAACCCCATGGCACTTTCAATGGCATTTTCTGGTAATTATTGGAAACTGTATTGCACTTTCAATAGCAGTTTCTGTCTGGCACAAAAACAGAGATAATACGTTATGTAAACATGACATATATGTCACTGTATACTTCCCACACTTGTTAAATAAGCAAATATGTACAACAGTTATGTCCAAATAAATTTCTCTCAGACACTAAACCATTTTATTTATCTCAGACTGAGTAAAGCAACAGCCCCATGAACCACACAGCCATTAAGATGCTTTAGCATCCTTTAAAGAAGACACCCAACGACTCTGTATGGTTTATCTCAAATTCTTTGCACTGTAAAGACTGTATCCTGTGTTGACCTTTTCGATCCTCATTTCAAAACAGTCAGAATGTATCACTGTAGGGTTGCTTTTAACGTGAATTTTAATTGTCGATTAGTCTGTCAGTTATTTCCTCTGATAATCAATTACTACTTGGTTCGGCTATGACATGTCAGGAAATGGTGAAAAATGTTGGTATGTGTCTTAAAGCTCAAGATGGCATCCTCAAATGTCTTGTTTTGTCCACAACCCAAAGACAGTCAGTTTACTGTCTGTCATAGAGGAGTAAAGAAACTAGAAAATATTCACATTTAAGAAGCTGGACTCCCAGAACTTTGACCTTCTTTAATAAAAAAAAAAACCAAACACTCAAACCGATCAGTTGGCCATCAAATTGGTTGGAGATTCATTAAATAAATGACAACTAATTTATGAATTGCTGCAGCTCTATATTATTGTCCCCTCAGCCCTGAGGAGGAATTGTGAATTTCTGTTTTACAAAACCACACAAGAGTTTCAAGTGTGTCAAAGGCTGTGTAGCAGATGGAAAATGAAAGTGTTGAACAATAGAAACAAGCAAAGATTTCACGCATTCACTGTTTGAGGCAGAATGCACTGTAACACCAAAGCTTTTATCCCTATGCCTCCATCAAAGAGTACTCAACAATACAACAGTCACTCAGGATACAGAGGCAGTGAAAAAGTGCATAGTCCACTTAACCACAGTCTCAGCATTCAGATCATCATTTGTTGCAAAAATAAAAGATCAGGAATCCAATTAATGAATCAAATGTTATCATTAACCAGTGTTAAATGATGATAAACATTTTAAGACTGATATTTATTGTGTAAAGCTTATAATATTAGGTATAATATCATGTTTTATTTTGGATATCAAGAGCAATGGAGTAGAAAGGATTGGTGTCACCTCTGAAACCCTCCAAGCACTGCCCTCTCTGTTATTTTATTTTTTTCTCCCATCTCACTCCTCTGTTATCTACTCTGTCTCTAGTTATTCTCGTTGATGGACTCCAAGCCCCCAATCTCACGGGCAAAGATGATCTCCATCACCAAATCAGCCATCAAAGCTATGAAAGTAAGAATGAGTTTGGCATTCCTTCGGTTCGAGAGTTAATTCTGTTTATTTGAACAATATTCGTTGTATCACACCCCTTATTTTTTGAGCCTTTATCTAGACGATAACATGCTCACTTGGTTCTCTCTTTATTAGCTCTACAAACATGTGGTCCAGATTGTGGAAAAGTTTATCAAAAAGGTGAGACGAACCTGTCTTAATTCAGTTAAAACCCATTTTTAACTCACGGAACGTGAATAAACCCAAATCTGCTTTCTCCTTCTGCTGTCTCCAGTGTAAGCCTGAGTACAAGGTAGCGGGCCTATATGTGGTGGATTCCATTGTTAGGCAGTCCAGACACCAGTTTGGAACAGACAAGGACGTGTTTGGCCCAAGATTCACCAAAAACATAACAGGAACCTTTGAGAACCTTTGCCTTTGCCCAGTAGAGGACAGGGTAAGAAAAAATTCAATGTGATGAAAATTGTGGGTTGTAGTGTCACTTAAATCGGCTCCGTTGTTATTCTCTCTCCTTCACTTGTTTCGTTGCTGTCTTATTTTCCTTTTGTAGAGTAAGATTGTGCGGGTGTTGAACCTGTGGCAGAAGAATGGCGTGTTTAAGATTGAGGTTATTCAGCCCCTCTTGGACATGGCCGCTGGCTCTAGCAGTGCAGCTGCACCCTACACAGGCTCAGATGACCCAGGTAATGTGTGTGTTTGTACACATGATGCAGTAGTGGTTACTGTAAGTCCATGATGCTGTTTTTAAATTTTGATCATTTGTTTTCTGCTGATTTCATCAGCACAAGTTCCTGCTGTTACATTTACTAGTGAAAATAATCTTTGTTTGCTTAGAGGAGAAATTTGTAAATTAGCCTTTTAAATTTATATTGCAGAAAAAAAATGTTGATATGCTGAAGTATCTGTGAGTGAATCTGGCGTTCAAAGGTGTCTGTGTGCTGCTGACACACACGTTCATGCTGTGTCTTTTCCCTCAGGTTCATCTCCACCTCCAGCCAAAGAGCCAGTTACTGCGGTAACGGCAAACTCCACCATGACATCCACTGCTCAGCTGCAAAACTCCGATGCCTTTGCTGCTGTGGCACAGCTCTTCCAGTCCACACAGGGTCAGCAGGTGTGTGTACACCAGTGCAGACTGGCATTAGCTTAGACCTCAGTCATTATGATTGTATTATCTTTACTTGCACATTTTTAATACTCTCACTAATAACTCTTCTTTCACCCTTTGTCACCGGGATTTTCAGCTTCAACAAATGCTCCAGAACTTTCAGCAGCAGCCAGCGAAGCCTGACACCGACACTCAGCCTCCTGTCCCTACTGTTCAAACACAGGCCCCGAACGTCACTACTGGCATGGGCATGGTCGCCCCACAACCACCTCTGCCCACCCAAGCCACCCAGCAGATGACGGCCTTTGACAAGGTGGCAGTGTGTTTTTTTGCATATGACATCAACAGCTATGTTAAATGACAGTAGAAACATCAGAATTTGGGCACTTTATACATAACCTCTCTCTTTCTATTAGACATTGCTGGACCGGTTTGACTACGATGATGAACCAGAAGTTGGAGAAGAAACAAAGAAGGATGAAATGTCATCACAAGCCTCCTTGTAAGCCCCTGATTTATTACATATAAAACAGCAGCTCTGCTCTGCCAAGCAGTGGGAAGCTCTTTTGGATTTTTGCAAAATGAACTAAAAGCTGTGAAGCTAATGGGGATATTTTTATCATCACAGTATGCAGCAGCCTCCAGCCTTCCCACAGCACATGGAGCACTTTAAACCACCGATGATTAACATGTTGCAAGACCTCTCACAACAGGTAAGAAGCATAATCATTTCCTGTTATAAAATAACTGATCCTCCGTTGAATTCTCCGATACTTGTTTTCTTTTAGGTTCTCTGTTTTTACTTTAAACTTTAACATGCTATCAAATTTAAGTTTCTAATCACTATAGCTATTGTACGTTATGTTACAATAACAGTTTCAGTACTTTATGTAGGCAGGGACACATTTCTATCTGTCAAATTGATTTTATGTTTTACATTTACATTTGTAAAACCGTGTGGTATGTGCACAATATTAATTCCAGTTGTCTTTTTTAGGCTCCTCTCCCTCCCAATGGCCAGCTCCAGGGCTATGGTCTACCTCCAGGACAAAGCTTCCCCGTTATGATGCCTCCCATAGGGCATGCTGTGCCAGGGCAGACCCTTCCTGGTTCTACTGGGCCTCCAGGCTTCCCAGGAGTATTCCCTCCCCACAGTGCCGCTCAGCAACAACAGGTAGACTTAACAACACACAGGATATGTAAAATCTAACTAGCTGTTTTTAGGTAAATTAAGTTGGCAAAGAAAGTTTTGCCAATTTGCGTTAAAATTGAAATCTAATGCCAGAAATTTGGAAAACAGCCTAATGTGGCTAAAAGTGCCATGCTTAACTGAAGTAGAAGATTAAGGCCCTGATCACACCGAAGGCGTTTTAGCAGCTGGAGGCGCCTTTTTGTAATTTTTGCAGTTGTTTTTAATTTCTTTTTTCCGCTGTGAAACACCTCACGTTTCTATGCTCGTTTTTGCCAGGGCGCTCTGAACACCCCAAGATGAAAAAACATCAACTCAAAGCAGAAAACGCCCCGCGTCATCTCTCTTTTTTGTCATCTTTTTTCCCATTGTCCAATCGGATGACTTTATAGGTGGTGGGTCTTCTGTGGTAGTCGCAATATCATGTTTATAGTTGGTAAATAATGCAGGAGAAACTGGTGGTAGCGTTTGCCCGATACCCAGAGCTATACAGCCTGATGATAGATAGCAGGTTGGCAAACTGCCCCTGAGGCATCCTAAAATATGCCTGGAAACGACCATCATCGAGGCAAAGCTCCTGGACCAGCTGGTGGTACATGCTGTAATCCACCCTCTTTTTTTAGGGTCTCATGTACCCACACAGATCTCTGTTTCCCTGTGCCCAACAAACTATTTGCTGACAGTCTCTCACCCTCCACCAGAGCTACAGCAAGTACTCTCTGTCTCAACATTTTAGAAACTAGATACTAATTACTGTCAAATAAGTGAAATAAATAAATAAACGGTAGATTGATTACACGGGAAGGTTAGAATAAGGAAGTGAGCAAGTCGTTACCTGGCAACAATAACAAGGCGCAGCAAACTTTTTTCCCCTAGTGGCATTTAATTTAAAAAAAAAAAGTCATTGCGGTGCGTCTCTGTGTGATCTGGGCATAAGAAGTATGTTTTATTTTTTGATAATTTTTCTTTCTTTTCTTTTCCCAAAATATATCAGGATTTGTCAATGGATGCAGACCGTTCAGCAATGAGAGATGGCAGACATGGTCGACGGTCAAACTCAGGCTCCAGGTAAGCATCTGAGATGTTATGTGTCAAACTAAGTTTCCATCTCGCCACTGTGATTAATCCTCTACCAGTAATTTTGTTTTACGCAGAAAAGTAGCAGTGCATATTTGTTGTGAAGATATCATGAGTTTCAATGTCTGTTCTTTTTCTCCAGGTCTCCAAAGCGGAGGAGGTCACGGTCTAATTCCCGTACACGACGATCCAGACACAGGCGATCGCGCTCGCGTTCCAGAGACCGCCGTCACCATTCCCCACGCTCTCGCTCGCAGGAACGCCGGGAGAGAGAGAAGGAGAGAGAGCGGCGACAGAAAGGCCTCCCACCACCCAAAAGCGAGACACTAAGCAGTGAGTCATAATCTGTTTATGGTCATAGTTGTTCTCGTAGGTAGACATGGACCTGAAATCATCTGTTATGTGTGCGTAGTGTGTTTTTCTGTCACTGGGTTCCTCAAAAAAAAAAATAAAATAAAATTAAAAAAAATCAAAATCTAAGTATTGCATATATTTTAGCATTTCTTAGCTCTTGTTCATGTTTTCTGTCTGCTTTGCAGTTTGCAGTACAACTCTCTGGGTGGGCCAGTTGGACAAGAGAACGCAACAGCAAGATGTTGCCTGTTTACTGGAGGAGTTTGGGCAGATAGAGTCCATCAATGTAAGTGGATTTATATTGATCAGACACATTGATTCAACTGTGGCCATGTCCTGTGTTTGTAACAGTGACATTTGTATTTGCTCATCCAAAAATAAAAACTACAGATTTTTTTTTCCTCACCTGTCTGCTTGTCTTCCTCCTCTTCTGAAGATGATCCCTCCACGTGGCTGTGCCTATATTGTCATGATACATAGGCAAGATGCCTTCAGGGCCCTGCAGAAGCTCAGTAGGGGAACTCACAAAGTGAACCAGAAAGCCATCAAGGTGAGTGAGCAACACAGACTGCTGCTTAGTACAGCAAATAAAAAACAAAACTGAGAATTGTCTTATTGAATTAAGAATTGTGTTTGTTTATTTCTTGGCAGATTGCCTGGGCTTTGAACAAAGGCATTAAGTCTGAATTTAAGCAGTACTGGGATGTGGAGATGGGTGTCACCTACATACCTTGGTCTAAAATCAAAGAGTCTCAGGTGGAGGAGCTAAAAGAAGGAGGAATACTGGATGTAGACACCTTATCACCTGGTAAAAACTCTGACAGGCACAAACACATGAGCATATCATACAAACAAGTTATGATATATAATCCCACCACAAGAAGTTTATACGGGAAGTCCACTTAGTAGGGCTGTAGTCAGGGCGACCAAAGTGTGTCAGGTGAAAAAATGCTGCACTTTGAAAGCGCTCCAGCGCTTCCAGTATGGCCTTATCAGAAGAGCTGCTGGCATTTTCAGCTGGCAATAAAACACTATGGTGGACAAAGCCTTATTACAGTAGGACAGGAGCCTATTGACCAATCAGTTGACCAACAAAGCAGTGTACGTCCTACCAGTTAGTCACACAGTTTGATCTGTCAGAGCCAAAAATGTCAAGTCTGAATTGTTTCTGTGTTTTTCCAGAGTGGATTGGTGTGAGGAAGACTCTCGGTCTGCAGGAGGAGCTCACCCACAACGGCCGTTCAGAGCCACAGCAGCCTGAGGAACCACAAGTATTACCTTTGGCTGCTGCAGCTCCTCCTCCTGCACAGGTTAACAACAGCTGCAACATGTTACTAGTATAAATGAAATGGAGATAAAACTTGCTGTGATTAAGAGTATGCCTGCTGTTTTTCAACAATCTATGCAAATGGTAGATAAGTATGGAGGCAACATTTGAAATAGTATGACTAGCTGGTAAAACAGCTGGTCCATACCTACATTAGAATAGATAAGTTAGCTTAGATAAGATGATTTTAATTGTTGTTCAAGGTTTGTCACTGGAAAGTATAGTACCTTTCTCACTTGACATCTGCAATAAATTCATGTAAATGTTCCCAGGTTCCTCCAATGCAGCAGCCAATGGTTGGTGTGGGTTCTCTCCAGCCTCCTGTGTTTCCTGGTCCAATAGGCATGCCCCCGCCTTCCTTCCCTCCAGGCGTCCCCCCTCCTCCTTTCATCAGACCTGGCTTCAACCCCATGCAGATGCCTCCAGGTAGCGCCTCCCTTAGCTGACATTCTCACATGCTTTCATTCAGTTTCTCTCTCTCGTCTCTCTCGTACATATTCTTGAATGAGTATCAGGACTGAAAGCAAGATGTAGTATTTTGTGTGTCTTTGTGTGTTTATCTGGCTCAGTAATAATAGAAAAGTTGAAATAGGACAAAATGTTGTCTTGAGCCATAATACTAAGGGGGGCAAGAATGCAAACACAAAACACTGCTGTTTTAACTTGTTTTTAGTCTCATAATAAAGTCGTGTTGCCAGTCCGTTTTGCTCTTGCACAAACAATTCACACCAGTCCTTCTTTTTAGGAGGTATCATGCAGTTGTTAAGTCCATGCGGACTGACAGTTGCCACACCAGCCCAAACAAACTAAACCCTAACTCCTTTCACCCTTCCTCTCCCAGGTTTTCCTCCCCCAGGTGCCATGCCTCTCGGTCCCCCGCCTCCCTCCAAAGGTGGCATTGAAGACCCGCCTCTGGACCCAGCGGGTCTGGGCCACAGGAAAAATGACGAGGTCCCGGAGGGTCCCAACATTTTCAACAACCAGATGGGACCTATGGGTCAGTCTGTCTTCCTCTCTGAGCTTTCTCCAAAGTGACATGTTGTTTCTCAGTCTGCTCTTTTGCTTTTGGGTAGTTAGCAAAGTTGAGTTAAATTTATTTGTATGTGTTTCCCCATCAGGTAACCAGTTAGGTGTACCTCCAGGTGCACTTCCAGGTTCTCTCCCAGGTGGTCCTCCAGGGAACATCCAACCCCCTTCTGGTGGTCTGCTTGGTGCACGACCAGGTATAATCCCACTCCAGCGTCCTCCGGTTCCCCCACCACCACACATGCAGCGTTTCCCTCCACCTCACGGGCCACGACCCCCTCACCCCAACATGCCACCTATGCCCCCACAGATGATACCCAGAGGGCCACACCCTCAAATGATGCACCATGACCCTCCTCCACCTAAAGGAGGCTTTGGGCTGCTCCCTCCCCACAATATGAGGGCTCCTTTCCTTCCACATGGGCATGGCCCTCCTCAAGGTCCTCCTCCTCCTTTTATCAGACCAGGGGTACCACGGGGCCTGGACGGGCCAGAAGAAATGGATAGCCGACCATTCAGGGGAGACAGGCCTGGATTCAGGGACCGAGAGCCAGAGAGGGACAGGGAGTGGGATCGAGATCGAGACAGGGATAGAGAGAGGGATCGAGGTTTTGGAGGTGGAAGGCGGCCATTTGGTGATGGAGGAAGGGGTGGAGGTGGTGATAGGATGGATGGGAGGGACAGGCTCGGAGGCTGGCAGGAAGATGGAGGAGATCACCGAGGAGGAGGATGGGAGAGAGACAGAGATCGGGATAGAGACCGTGATCGAGACAGAGACCGAGACAGACGAGACTGGAGGGAAAGGCGGAACAGCCTGGATAGCGACAGGGAGCGAGGGAGGGGTGATGATGCGGATAGAGAGCGGGGGAGGGGAGAGGGAGGAGGAAGAGGAAGGGGAGAAGGAGGGAGTCGAGACAGAGGGAGAGGAGCTGAAGGAAAGGAAGGGGAAAGGCCGAGGCGGTCAGAACGGCGAGAGAGGACCACGCGGTGGGACAGAGATGATCGATTGGCCGAACTGGAAAAAATGGACAGATTTCGGACCTCGAACAGCACAGAGCAACCTCGACTGACTCCTGTGGTTACCACAGAAAGCAGTGAAGAACCAAGTGTGGAGGCTTCTGAAAAGAAGGCAGAATCTGAACTTTTATCTCCGTCCCCAGGGGTTACTACTGCTGCAGGAGAGCCAAAGCCCTCTGAGCCCTCACCTTCAGCTCACAGTGAGCCCACAGAAACTAAACAGGAAGCAGAATCATAGACTGGCTCACTGCTGCTCCTTCAGCCAGAGACTGCTGTGAACCACTCAACGATTTAAAAAAAAAAAAAAAAAAAAATGTTTTTTTTTTCACTATGAGTCAGCCTCAACTCCTGGCATATGAATTCTAGCTCGTCACAGTTTGTCAGTTGGTAATTGACAGTTTCTGGGCAGTATCACATCGCAGCAACAAACATCTCCCACACGTGTCGTCAAACATGTAAAATGATTGTTTTCTGGCATTTCGGCTTATGGTCAAATTTGGCTTTGCATCTGTTTCTCAAAACACACGACCACATGAGAATCAGTATGGTAAAATTGCTGTAGTTAAATATTGGCTGTTAACTGTTTTTCCTGTAAGTCATAAGAATTATCGGAGTGCGTGTTAACTTAGCTCTGTCCATTTGAGGTTAATTTGATCTTAGCTTTTATGTTTTTACTCAAGTTGGTTTGCAGACGGAGAAAACGAATGACTTCTGTGACAAATTTATTTTTACGTCATTGCCTTATGTGTTTGATAGCAGGCACTCCCCAGCACGATGAATATGTTCATTTTTTATTCTTTTTTTTTTTTTAAATCTGCCAAAATGTCATGTCATACACTGAATATCTTCGCAAATAACTGATAATATAGGCACCATTGATTTTTCTCTGTTTTCATCTCGTCTTGTGTTTCATGTCGGCTCCTCATTGCGAGATCCTAGCCAGTAAGACACAGCTTTGATAAGACTAAGGTGGCCTTAAAATCCACTCATGTTACTTGTAGGTGTTTAAACAGAGATAAAAACAAATTGTAAAAGACATGTTGGTAAATTACACACACAATTTGTTGACCTCTCCCTTTGAATAAGTCCCCACTTTTCACCCCTTGAACCACACTTTATTTCAGGCAGAATAAACCAGAGTATTGTCTCCATTCTTTAAGAAAACTCCACTCCCAGTACATGGTTTTTATTTAGGTTTTTATGTATTCCACTAGCACTGGGACTCTTACAAACGTAGGACAGATTAGAAGCTGAGCTAACTCTCACAAGGTCTGTGAATCAGACTTGGTAATCATATTTTACTGATAGCAGGAATTACATCCAATTCCTAAGCCATTCATCGCATTATTTAGGGAGTCAAGAATGCTTCACATTCTTTGACAGTACTGTCTTTTATGTGTGCATATAATCATTTTGTTTGGTTACTAATATATTGGACAAAACAAACTGTTGTAGGGGACTCAAAACCAAGGACTTGAACTTTAACTCTGGCATAATCCAATTCATTTTGCTTAACAAACATTGTGACTGATGGGCTAAGAGGCATTTCAAGTAAGCCATTTCAACAAAACATACAGAAAAATTTAGAACAAAAGAAAGGGTACATCCGGGTGTATTGTGGCATATCTCCCTTGGAATATGTAGGAAGTAAAGAAATTTGATGATGTTATATAAGTGGGCTTTGTTTCAGAAGTTTGAGTGATCTAGACAGATAATGGTACATTTATTTGCAAAGAAAGAGACTTAACCAGGAGAGCTGTTCAAAAACTGCTGAACAAACAACATTTTTTTCTGGTTAAATGGAATTTTATCTCGGTTTCTTTTAAATCGTCTGTTAGTCTTTTTTTTCCAAAACTAACATCTACATCAAAGAAGTAAAATTTAATTATAGGATGTGTGTAATCAGTTGTTTCTGTTGTCTAAAATTAACCAAATGTGTATATTTTTATTTTTCAGTTAAGGGATAAAGAAGGACTTCTTGTAGATCCAACACAAAAGTAGTGCAAAAAAAAATATGCAAAAATTCAGGTGCCAGCTTGGATTTTTGAACGTTGTGTATACACAAGTTAGCAGGCAGACTTGCTAAGTTTCATGTTTATGGTGGTCTTTTCTTTTCCTGTGTGGGGAGGGAAGACAAGCTTTTTCGATTTGTCTCATGTACTGTATGTCAGTCAAACACAGATATAAGTTAGTTTTGGCCATAAGAAATTACAAAATGTAACCCTGTAGCTGAATTCTGTGTTGACTTTGACACAACTGTCAAATTTAGTGTCTTTCACTGCAGACAGACTGCACCTGATATTAAGTCAGCATTTGAAGCCCAGATCCTACAAGCCCAGCTCTGTTCTTGAATAATTTCAATTTCACAGAGGCACCAAGGACAAAACTGAAGTGACGAAATGAAGAGTGTTGCTTTGGGCGCCCAGCTGTAAATACGCTTGTTTCACTGACGATTTAAAGATGTAATGGTAATTGTTGTTTATGATCTGTGATTAGTTTATCCGAGAGAAGCAAAATTGACTTGGAAGGAACAACAGAGGCCTCTTGCTTTAACGTTTTTCTATTAGTTTAAACGATGACAGATGTTTCTATGATTTGTTAAGAACTCAAAAGACATGGACATAAAATCTTCAATATTTCAGCCAGGGGAAATTGTTTTTAATAAAACTATTTTTGTACCAAATCATTTTGCTTGTTCGAATTATATTCCATGCTCAGCTGTTGGCACACATAATGGTCTCTTTTCATGCCAAACGCCCAATATTTATTTGTGATTTTGGATTAATTCTAAACCCTTTACCATCCAGGATGAGGAGGAAGACAGGTAAGCATATTTGTCATTTGTTAAGTCTAAGTACTAGCACTATATTGGCCCCCATATTGTTCAGTCTTGCTCCTTGTGACAGGGGCAATGTGACTTTATATCACATGAATTGGCCTATTGACATCCCTGCCCTGCAGCATTGGTACTTTATATGCAACACGAATGACTGGAATAAATCATGGTTTGTGTAAGAACATCTAACATTGCCATCAAGGACTTGTTCCTATTTTAGCTTATGGCGTAACTGCCAGCAATGTAGCCCCAAAGTATAGGAAATATTATGCAAATATTTGACCTTTCATTGACAATATTGCTATTAATTAAGACGGCAGCAATACATTTAGTAATAACAAGTGTCATCTTTCAATTTAAAATGTGATATTGTTGATTAAAAGTTGTCATGTGGCCCGATGACTGTTAGTCAATGTGAGCAAAGTTTGATAAGGATTTGCTCACTGCGTAATAGGCAGCTCCCCACCAACGACCAATCAGAACTTGGCTTTTTGATTCTGCTTGACTCCTATTGGCTGCTTGTATCATACGCCCGCCCACCAAGCACTTCATCAAGTTGGTTGTCTCTAGCAAGCGCACTATAAACTTAGGCGTCTACTGAAACTGCTGCGAAGATGGTTTTGAAAGCTGTGTGTGTGTTGAAAGGAGCTGGAGAGACCAGCGGGACCGTGTATTTTGAGCAGGAGGTAAGGCGTGCAGTTGTTTTCACAGTAATAAATATCTTGTTCGTTATTTTAGGGAAACTACCTGGAGATTTGACGTGCATCCTCCTGGGAGCGTTAGCGCACGAATGCTAAGCTAGCTAAGTTCTCCATCTTCAAGTCGGTTAGATCGGTTTTCGGGAGACCTAGCTAGCTAGCGACGTTTTACATTTGAATGGCAAGGGGTCGAAGTTAGTCTGATATAACAAACCGCTGCTATATTTGCATGGCGTTACGATATCTAACCGTGCACGCATAGTCAATGCAAATTAATGTTAGCCTGCACCGTCTAAATACACCAATGAGTGCTAAATGCGCATGCAGTCACTGACTCGTAACGTTACGTGACACTTTTTAGTCAAAGCAGGCTGCTCATGTGAACGCCGTACTTGTTTAAGTAATAATGACAGCCATAAAACATTGGCTGCCATTAAAATCATAACCTTTGAACGTTTAAGGCCCGTGTTTTGTTAATTATCAAAAGCGCGTGTGGAAAACGCCTGTTGCATAAGTCCAGTGTTTGTAGTGTGAGTTTATTAAGCTACAATTGCCAATCTGATGTGGTTAGTGTTTGCTGAGCCACACTAAAGTTGGGGAGCACTTCTGGTTGTAGTGATTTTGCTGAGAACCTCGTCAGAGTCGAAAGGTGCACTATCAATGGAAGCTGCATTAACGAGAGCCCACTAATTATATTTTTGCTGAGTCACTGCCTGCTCTTGTTGAGTATTTGTCTCGGTTGATAAGGGTCATGTTGGAGTGAGGCCGAGCAACGTGGTAGTGTCTAGATAAGTGCATGGCTGCAGTTTATGTGTGAAAAGGTTGTGAAGTCGAGGGTGACAGTTGAATTTGAAATTTTGTCTATTTTAATTGTTCATGGAGTTTAGCTGGCTATCCTATCTTGATGCAAATGCATGTGTATACAGTGATATTTTAGTCTTGGGCTGGTGATGCAATTTTGGACAGAATGAGACACTTTGTGCTACCCATAAAGGCAGAAGGACATATTTTAGTTAAATTATACTGCTGTTGCAAAACCATTAACACAGCCTTTGACATTGAGTACAACTGAAACTGAATTGCATTTTTTTTGTGACCTACTGCATTCATATTTGCTCTGAAAAACACCTGTCCTGTGTTCTCTTCTTCAACACACATTTGTTTAAATATGGCACACCCTGATTTCATATTAAGTCAACGGCATCTGCCTTCAGCATTATGTTGATTATAACCAATCAAATCTTGCATTTATGCAGTGACGTCAGTGTCCTGTCATAAGCAGACTGTCAAATTGAGCCAGATAGTAGCCTGCCAGGCAGCACAAGACTCTGAGCAACAAAAGGGGCCTCTCAGAGATTGAAATTTGCTTATGTTTATCATTGGGTGATTGAGTGAGGTCATTTGGAGACTTAGTTAAAATGGATGGATGATATACAATGATAAATTAAGATAGATAACAACAGTAGTTATGGTACAGGTTTAAATTTTAATTTTAAAATTTTTGAATCAAAATATCTTTGAATTAAGTTTCATATTAAGGTTCTTACTACAGTTTTTCTTTCAGTATTTCAAACTTCCTGTACAGCAACAATAGGCTAAGAATTAAAAAAAGAAAAGTTCAGTTTATCAATTGACTGACCAGTTAATCAATTAGATAAATATTAAGTAGCATATACAAATGCACACTTAAATACACGCAAAAAACAATAAAGTTAAACAAATGCATAAAGTACAAATACAAAGAGTAAAAAACAAAAGTCAAAATATTAAGAACCATATATCCATGAGAAATATATTACTCTTACAGTATATTAATTTGGGTGTTTTTATTCCTTTTTGTATTGGATATGACATCATTTGTAGAACAGCTTTCCTTTATATTTTGATTTTTTTATGTGTTACTAAGAATTGACTGTCTTGAGAAAGCAAATGGCACTGAAATAATCATTGCTTTGTTTGCTTTAGCTTCAAGTCCTTCTAGCCACCTGGCTTTGAAAGCTCCTTTGTGACTCTTGTATTCTCCTGACAAATCGTGTTACCTTGTTCTCTTAGAGTGATTCAGCCCCTGTGAAGCTGACAGGAGAAATCAAAGGCCTTACTCCTGGTGAGCATGGTTTCCACGTCCATGCTTTTGGAGACAATACAAACGGTGAGCACCTGACAGCAGTTGTATGTTGATCTAACAGGCCTCTTAAATTGCAGGACTGGCAAATTAATGTAATATGTGCATTGCTGGTTTCAGATAACCTTCTCTCAGACTGACTCTCTGTGTCTCTCTCTCTCTCTCTCTCTCTCTCTCTCTCTCCCCCTCTCTCTCTCTCTCCCCCCCCCCCCCCCCCCCCCCCCCCCCCCCCCCCCCCCCCCCCCCCCCCCCCCCCCCCAGGGTGCATCAGTGCAGGGCCTCACTTCAACCCCCACAACAAGCATCATGCCGGTCCTACTGATGCGGACAGGTGAGACCAGTCTTAGGGAAGACTTGATATGTGCCATTACAATTAGGGATAGACCGATATGGATTTTTTAGGGCCGATGCCGATTTTTTTCCATCACCCTTAGCCGATGACTGATTATGGACTGCCGATTTTCTTGAGCCGATATTTGGGGCCGATACTGCTTTTGCTCCCTCAATTTACATAAAAAAAAAAAATGACATAATGATAACAAATATTACAGGTCTCAAGTTTAAAATAAGAAACATTTATTGAACAGTAAAAAATACTAAAACAAGATGGAAAGTTGAGGTAGAACAGGTAGAATATTATTATTATTATTATTATTATTATTATTATTATTATTATTATTATTATTATTATTATTATTATACATTCAAATAAAAAAAGAGTTTAGTGCTCTTCCAGTCTTCCAGTAATGTCTTTATAAAATAAACAAATATTTAAGCTGAAGCATAAATAAAACAACAACTACTGTACACAGTAGGATTCAACAGCTTTGTTCAACTTAACCACATACTTTGAAATGAAAAAAAGTGCCAGGGAAAAATAAATCCGCGAACCCACGCGCGTATCGGCCGATGCCGATACAAGTAAAAAACTCAAATATCAGCCCGATATATCGGCCAGCCGATGTATCGGTCTATCCTTAATTACAATGTTCAGCAAGTCATTGTGCTTCGTGTTGCTCATTATAACAGATGATGCAAATGGTTACCATTTATCAGAACCCATAGACTCATGTTCAGCAGTACATTTAAAGCTTCCTCAAATGAAAAATGAGTGACTAAATCATGACTCTGTACAACTTGCAGGGACAAGGATAGATGTCTGATTGAAAAGATAAGGCTTAATCACTATGGTTTAGCAACAACTCAGCAAGGTTTGCATAGTTTTGTACAATGTTTATTTGTAGTTTGATGATGTGTCTGATAACAAATGATTTCGAGTCACAGAACTTGACAGCATTGTTTTGCTTTCTGTTCTGGCAGACAACTATTCATGCTCACATTCACACCTACAGCCAGTTTAGATTCACAAAATAACCTGTCTTTGTCATGTCTTTGGACATGCAGACACAGGGAGAACATGCAAAGAAGTCAGCACAGAAGGGATCCCCCACCCTGGGTTCGAACCAAGAACCCTCTTGCTGTGAAACAACATTGCTAACCTCTGTACCACCGTGTGCCCACTTCAAAAAGTGGCCTTAAAAGTCTTAAATACAACTTTCCTTAAGACATAGAAACCCTTGTTTGATGCTACACTTTTTGGCCTTTTTATTAGATCGCAACTTTTGAGGTGCAGACGGGACTCGTGGGGAGAGAGACAGGGGTACAACATGCAGCAAAGGTCCCCCCCTGAAATATGGAACTGTTCATTAGTTGTTGAAACATTGAACTTAATTTCTGTCACTATTTATGGGATTGGAAATGGTATTCAGCAGGATGTTGAGGTTTGTTTCTCACAGACTGCCACAACTAAAAAAGCAATTTTTATTTTTTTTTTTTTTGTGTAAATAGGCATGTTGGAGACCTGGGAAATGTGACTGCAGGAGGCGATAATGTTGCCAAGATAGACATCACGGACAAGATGCTCACCCTCAATGGCCCATACTCCATCATTGGCAGAACCATGGTGGTAAGGGGGGGGGGGGGACACTTTATTACACCTGGAATTGAGCATCAAGGCTATGAACCGCTGA